TGTCATTTCATTGATTTAACACCCTGCAATGGTAATCTAGGCATGTCTTATTATTGATGTAACACTCTCTAATGGTAATCTAGGCATGTCTGATCATAATTGATTTAGCAATCCCTAACACTGATCTACGCATGTCATTTCATTGATCTAACACCCTCTACTGGTAACTAAGCATGTCGTATTATTGATGTAACACTCTCTAATGGTAATCTAGGCATGTCTGATCATAACTGATTTAGCAACCCCTATTAAACACTGATGTACGGATGTCAGGTCATGTCATTGATATGGTAATCTAGGCTTGTCTTATTATTGATCTTACACCCTCCAATGGTAATCTAGGCATGTCTGACCGTAATTGATTTAGCAATCCCTATCACTGATCTACGTTTGCCATGTCATTGATCTAACAACCCTCCAATGGTAATCTAGGCATGTCATATCATTGATCTAACACCCTCCAATGGTAATATAGGCATGTCTTATTATTGATCTAACACCTTCTAATGCTAATCTATGCACGTCTGATCATAATTGATTTAGCAACCCCAAACACTGATCTACGCATGTCATTTCATTGATCTAACACCCCCAACTGGTAATATAGGCATGTCTTATTATTGATCTAACACCCTCCAAAGGTAATCTAGACATGGCTGATCATAATTGATTTAGCAATCCCAAACACTGATCTACGTATGTCATTTCATTGATCTAACAACCCTCCAATGTTAATATAGGCATGTCATACCATTGATCTAATACCCTCCAATGGCAATCTAAGCATGTCTGATCGTAACTGATTTAGCAACCCCTACCACTGATCTACGTATGCCATTTCATTGATCTGACAACCGTCCAATGGTAATATAGGCATGTGATACCATTGATCTAACACCCTCCAATGGTAATCTGAGCATGTCTGATTGTAACTGATTTTGCAACCCCTAATACTGATGTACGCATACATTTCATTGATCTAACACCCTCTACTGGTTATATAGGCATGTTTTATTATTGATCTAACACCCTCTAATGGTAATCTAGGCATGTCTGATCGTAACTGATTTAGCAACCCCTATTAAACACTGATGTACGCATTTCATGTCATTGATCTAACACCCTCCAATCATGATTACCATTGGAAGGTTGTTAGATCAACGATATGACATACATAGGACTACAATAACATTTTCGATAATACGTCATGAATACATTCTTGGTCTGGGAGCCTTGCTCTCGTCAATCAAGACGGAAGGCGATTGGCTCACGATTCATGAGAATGAAGCTCCCAGGCCAATAACGTACTCGTGATGTAATTATCGAAAATATGTATTAGTTGATGTTAGTGTATTAATGAAAACGTAGACCAGTGGTAGAGTGTATTTTAAGTAACGAAATCTTTTTGTCATTGATATGAAATACCAAAATCAGCATAAATTAAAGAGTTTTGGATTAATAGATCATGGATATTCATATATTTAATGCCTAGACAAATGTCAAAGTGCTAGATCACTATTACTATTAGGTCCTTCCAAAGTTTGAACTTTAGAAAATAGATATAAATAAGCGACTACAATAAAACGTATATTGTACAATTTTTTACAGTGTATAGAGTGTATAGGAAAATCTATTTACATTACTACTCCAAACTTAAGCTACTTAACTAAGCATTCCAGGAGCTTTTTCAATGGCTTGCCTATTTCCTAGTGGAAGGTTGTAACTTGCCTGGCCTAAGGTTTCAGTCAGTATGAAATACATGGGACCATTGCATTGTACGAATGTTTTTCCCCAGTAAGTCACTTGTTTGGAATGCAGGACTTTGTAACCTTCAGTTAGTAGGACTAAGGTCCAACCAGTAATCTTTGTAAGTGGTCCTCTTTGCTGTATTTAAGTTGGCTTAGTGATAGCATAGAATAACCAAAACCTTTCTTCTGCTTCGGTATAAACGGGCAAAATTAAAGTTTTTTCCTCCTGGCTGTGCTTCATGTTTTTGCCAACAGCCATGATTCGAGGTCATCTGATGAACTCTTGAACACTTGCTTCTCATCTTCACCTGTGAGCTTCCATGCTGCAGAAGCCAACTGGTTTTTCTCAATCAACATCAAATCTTTGCACTCATCTAAAGGACATTATAAAAATAAGATTCTAGGTGATTCATCAATATTGTTCTGGGAATGGGAATTTGCGGAAACTTCCCAGGGGTGAAGTTTATGATATCCTCATGATAAAAACAGACAAAAAAGTTGAGGTCACCAAGATCATTCCGACGATTTGACAAGTGCAACATGCCAAATCCCCCCCCATATGGCACAATCTTGACCCTTTTATGTGTTACAAGAAAACACGGTTTAGCAAAACAAAAAGCATTGACGTGCATTGTCATGGTGGCGACAAAAAAGCACGGTCAGAGACCTTCTTAAAGAAATAAAACATGCAACATGATGTGGTTTAGTGTTAGTTGCACAGGAGCCCTAGCCAGAGTTCTATCATTTTTGAAGATATATTTCCTGAAGCACACAATATCAATGCAGAGTGGTTTTCTCTTTGCTCTTACTTTATCACTTTGTTGTTAGATACAGGTATTTAGCATAAAAGAGCAGAATACAAAACTGATGAATCACCACATGGTTATATTTCATGGCTAAATATTTGCATTTTATTGCTTCACCAAGACAATGTTAGTAAGCCTAGGGTGAACCACTGAACCAGATAGAGCTTTTTGCTATCCGGCCAGAATATCCAGTCGGATATGTTTGATATATAAGCTAGTAACAAAGTAACATATGACCATATGACTCAGTTCCAGCTGGAACTTTCTTCCAGTTCCAGCCAGATCCAGTTCCAGCCGGAACTTAAAAAAATGGTTTCTGGTGCACCCCTACAGGTCTAGCCTAGGAAGGCGCTTGATCGTGTGTGCATGCCTATTAACTCATTAAGCCGCAATGCGTCCCAGTGCACCCTACTTTTTTGCTTGTCTAATGCCAATGGGGAAGCTCTGCACTTTAAGGGGTTAACCAAAAAATCTGACAATGTCTCTAGTTATTATGCACCTATCAATGTTAACTCCAGAGGGGGGGGGGGTTCGGGCATATGTGGGGTATTTGATTATCAATTCCATCCCCACCCTGGGGATTTTGATTAGCATTTTGGCCCCGAGTTGGGGCAATTTGAACCGAATAGTCGACTGTTATTAACGTAGTATTTATTGCAATTTATTGCAAGATGGTGGGGGCATTTGACCAATATTTATTGCCCAACGGTGGGGCATTTGATTGGAAATTTGCTCAAAAAATCAAATGCCTCACCTATGCCCGACCCCCCCCCCTCTGGAGCTTAACATTGATAGGTGCATTAAACCCATTGAGACGTAATGTGCCCCAGTGCCCCTACTTTTTTTTACTTGTCTAACGTCAGACAATTCCACTCATCAATGGAGAAACATGCATGTTAACAGTAAGTTCAGATTGTCAACTAGGCATGTAATAACAATATACGAAGTAGACTCTCGCTTAAGTAGGTGCATAGAAAATAGTGGCTTGAATGCACAGTAACTGCACTATTGATCAAGTATCTTGGTTTTCATCCAAGCAAGGCCTGATACTAGTTTATATTAGTATAATTTTGTATGTCATCTAGTGTCTTTAATAGTAAATAGTCAACATTAACATCACTATGATATCTATATTTACCTTTATAACTTGAGTCGTTGTTAAGCCAGTTTCTGCTACAACGCTTTGGATCATTTCGCGATAATTTAGACCAACACCGACCATTCCACGGCCGTAAAACCTTTCCAAAATATCTCTCTGGTTGTCGCTTATTCTAGTTCTCTTTCCTATCTCCATTTCATTGCACAGAATCGCAAATAGACTAGAAAATCTGCTTGAAATGTTTTCAAATATGGCAGCTCAAAGCTCGAGAAGAACGTATGATAGAAAGACGATTGTGATTGGTTTATATATAATGATATGCGAAAGCGTCAGCGTCAGGTAGCGCAGGCGATAGTCTGGCGCGGGTAATACCGAATATTCTCAATTGAGAACATATGGGTAACACCCGTTAAGGTGTATGCTAAACGGGTGGCTAGATAGGCTATCTATGTAAAATTGTAATACCTATAAAGTCTGGATTGACCCTGCATGGCTTGCTTTGTTTACATTTGGTATAATTATAATGACGTGGTTTCATCTGCTAACAGACAAGACATTAGTCTAGAATTTTAAAGTATATACTCAATAATTGAAAAAGTTTTTCAAAATGATAAGTTAAAACAATCTGGCTCAGAACCATAAATATATTTTATTCTTGCTTTGTTTATAAATTTTGCAGGCAAAACTAGAATAGCGACTATATTCAAAGATCAATTTTCTCATGCATATATATACCTATCAGTCACAATAGAACAATTTCACTTTATACTTTTGGACTTTCTCTTTTCAATTACATAAAAAGTGTATTTACCACCTTTTCACCAACTTTCCACGGCACATCATGACGTCCAAATCCAAGCAAACCAACGCCTCTGTATTGATCCTGCATGGACGAGGCGTTCTGCTCACAATATTTTCCGCCAATTTGGCATGCATTGGAAAGGCCAGGGCAAAGCAAATAGATTCTCTTGGATTAGGCTTACCAACGGCCTACAGTTCTTTGTCGTTTTTTTCCGATATTTCTGCTGCAATATAAATCTTGATAGATTAGCATCAGCGTAATATCGTGTTTGACCTTCACACTCAGCCTTAAAATTATAGTGTCTCGCCCAATCTGCTTGTCAGTTGGATAACTGAAGTTTAATTAAGATATAGTTACATTTAAAATTCAAACGAAATATCGAAGAAATTTCCAGAAACATCCAATTTATAACCATTATTATCCTGAATCAAACTGCAGTAAATCACATATATATTTTGTTTTGAAGAGTTCCCAAAATGACGTCACGCCTGCGTTAAAAGGCATTCTCGACCCAGTATTTTCATGCTCAATGTCAAACGTTCAAAATAGGCAAAATCGCCAAATTTGAGCGCCAAAAAGCCATGAATATCAAGTTTTCGTATTATAAAATATATTACAAAATCTCTTAGAATAACCTAAATAATCGAATGCATCAATAGACAATTCCCATTGTAGCTCTAGAAAGATTACACTGAAATTAGTAAAATAAATTTATTCCAAAGTTTGGTAAATAAATGCGGAAAATATAGCCTTGCAAAAATTTTGTATACTTTTGTATTGCGTGAGGAAATTTCTGCCATTTTAGGTCCAAATGTGGTAGCAATTTCCGCACCCAATACAAAAGTATACAAAATTTGCGAACTTTGCAAGCCAGCTAAATTTTCCGCATTTTAAAACATTTCGCAACCAAACTTTGCAATTTTACTCATTTCGGTATGCTCTTTCTGGCTGTTGTAATTTATTTGGATCTTCTTGCAGAGGTTTACAATAATAGTCTATGATTGGGAATTGTTTTGACCTTCAGAGACAACCTTAATTGAATTGGCTGTATACGGCAGATTTTCTAGAGACAAGATCCCGCATTTTGCAGGATCTTAAGAGCAGATTGAGGTTAACTATACCAGAGCACGATTAGTAGCCTCGAATCCACAGAGTCACTATCTCGGCAAGTTACAATATTCCGCCCGTGTGATAAGGGTGAACTACTGCTGTAGGAGATTGATTTCTATTTCATCTTTTATTGCTGATTAATATTGGTTATTGTTGTATAGTAGAGAGTAAAAGACTGAAAAATACACATTGAGATATTTTGCAAATCTGCACTAGTGAAGATATCAATCACGTGACAATTTGACAATTTGCTCTTGGGCGTGAAATTTCACAACTTTTTGCTTGGGACCATATTATAATGAACAGAACATGACACGGTGGCTTGAAGATATTGTTTTAACACGAGAAGATAAAAGTCATATCTTTGCGCCACCGTGTAATATCCTCTCTTTATTAAACGTGGAGGTATAAAAATTAATGTACTACATTGATGCATCCGCATCGCTGTTCACTCAGTGTGGCAACAGAGAGAGGAAGAGATTTACCAGACTGTCAATACTGACACTAGGGTAAGAAAATAACGCCATTCCCAGAGAAAATATCTTAGATCAAAATCCATAAACATGTGTATAGGAAAGTAAAAAAATGCGTTGTACACTGGTATTCATCTGACATTGTTCGGTAGTTCCATACTGTACGAGCTTGATACTTCCAAGATCAACGAATCACCAGACGTCTATATTTGGGGCCGCGGTTGTTCAAAGCTGGGTTAACTTATCCCTATGCAGGTTAACTTAAAATTCAAAGCAAACTTTCCAAGAGCTTGTTTCTAAATTTGGAAATATTTCTTTAGAGATCTTGTCTGATTCAGTAGGAGTTTTCTTCTCTGAAGTTTTGAAATAAGCAGACGTGCAGACTGCAGAAATATATAAACTAAAAACAACAGATTAAATTTTAACCGAGGTGAACAACCGGCCCCTGGAGCATTATATTAGGTTTTTTGTTGGCCAGCCAGAGAACTTTATTTCATGAAAGATAAAACCTTCGTTCTTGTTAAGCATTAAAATATTTTTTATACACAGGTGACGCAAAAGATTCCTTTTCCTACCACAGCGGAATGATGTTTAGTACAAATGATCGGGACAACGACAAAAAAGGTTCAGCAAATTGTGCTATAGAGTATGTTGGTGCATGGTGGTATGGAAGTTGTCATCATTCCAATCTCAATGGTTATTATTATGCTGGTCCACATGACAAAGTAGCCACTGGTGTAAACTGGAGTGGGTGGAGAGGACAGTCTTATTCACTCAAGAAAACTGAAATGAAATTTAGACCAGTAGGATTTCTTGGTTAATTTATCTTAATTTGCATGATAATTTAATTTATGCTTCAACCGGCCGTGGATGATTGCTGAAGATGTTCTAACTTTATCTACATACAAATTAATTATATTAAATTCTCAATATTTAGATACTAACTACATACAAAATAACATGAGATATATAGAGATATGAAGTTCAACATGACGTTAGATATG